TGATGGCAGTATATGTTACTGTAGCAGCTTGTAGAGCACTCTGCTGCGTTGTACCAAAGCGTGTTGCAGATTAGGGTATTTGTTTATATCAGGGGTGTCATATTTGTGGCCTGTGGGCTGGATCAGGCCTCTAGCGCTGTGGTGTGGCACCCCTGGGGCTAGTAGAAGGGCTGGAGGCAGGACCCACTGCGAAATCCAAGGCACAGAGCCCTGCTGGGGATGTCCCCTGTGTTGGTGGCAGGGGGGAGGGAAGCTGTATTAACCCTCTCTCCTGCCACCGCCATGTCCAGATCCAGCCTGCAAGGGGCTCTGCAGTCCAGATCCAGCCCAGGAACCAAGTGAGTTTGACACCGCTGGTCTAGATGATATGGCACAGCAGTTCAGTTTCATGGCACACAGTATGGTACAACATTGCACAGCTAACCACCTCTGCACTATGCCAGGATAAATCATCTCAGTGTCTAAAAAGCTGCTGCCACCTAGTGTCCCCAGGTATTACTGTACTCGCAGCAACGTGGATGCAGACAGGTCTGATGGCATTTCCCACTGGAGCTCCGAAGCACCTTTCTGAAACTGGGCCGTAGCGGACTGTGTTGTGTTGTGTTACAGGACATTGCATTGCTAAACAGGCGAGACAATGCAACATTGTGCTGCAACATATCAAAACTGGTTAAACTACACATGCGGGTCAAGGGGCCTGATTCCCACACTGCCCAGCAGGAGGCATTTGCTGATCCAGGTCAGCGTGTGTTGGAAAAGGCAGGTGTGCACAAGGATCCCAAGGCTGGGAGAGCAGGGGAAGCTGCTCTCACTTTGGTGAGTACTAAATACGCTGTCCTCTCCTCTCTGCCCCGTGCAGCCCTCAACATTAAGTCCTGAATGAGTAAGATAGGTGGGAATGAGCCTTGTGGGGGAAGGGGAAGAGTTGTGATGGTGCTTTGGCCTCCTCCTTTTGAGCGGCAGGAGCTTTTCTCCCTATTGAATACTAAAGGAGTTGAGCCCACGAACAGAGCCTCTGTGCTGGAGAGAAGCCCAGGCTCCAGCCATTGGGGCCATTCCTGTTGCCTTTGATTTGGCCTTGGCCTTGTTGCTAATGGTTTTCTGCCCCTCAGTGTTGATGTGGAGCCTCCTTCCCTCTCAACTAATCCCATCTCCCAGCAGAGAGAAGAAAGAGGGGCAGATAAAGAGGAGGGGGATGGGAACTGAGAAACTTCATCCAACTTCTGGGAGATAAAAAAAGGCCTATTCAGCTGGGAAGAATACCAGCATGGAGATGGTCACCTAGCAACCTGGAGTAATTTGGCACGGCCCAGATTTCCCGGGGAAGGACCAATGATTTCTTGCTATCCCACGGAGAACTCAAGGCCCAGGAACCTTCCCAGGAGAGCAGGGGGGCGCTGCCAGGCCTGGGAAAGCCAGACAAGCCCTGTGAGAGAAAGGGCTGCAGAAGGGAATAAAAGATCCTGCAGAGAAAGCCTGAGTGAGTGCACAGGGGAGGGGCACTGGCATCTGGCTGGACCCAGGCTCCCCACAGCACTGGTTAACCCTTACTTACTGTGT